CTCCGGCTGGGCTGCTGGTGCACACACAAAACCTGCACACGAGCTGCAGCGGCTGCTGGCCCCACACCTGAGGCCCTGGGGTCTCTGCAGCATCCAGATCTGGAGAGAGAGACCCCTTAGGACGTGTGGGGTGTGGAGACAGGACTTGCCCCAGAGGCTCAAGTCAAGACTGCGCCCATCTGAGGTCTGGCCTGTAATTTTTAAATACAATGTTGGCAACCTCATCGTAGCTCCTGCATCCCTTCCTTGCCTGTTCTCACGCCCTGCTGCAGCCTGGACCCACCACAGCCCCTGTCTCAGGGCCTTCTGTGCACGTAGCCTCTTCTCCATCCACTCGGCCGCTAGCTCTGAACAGCTTCTGGCTAGGTGGGAGGGCCTGCTTGGCTGTTTCCTTCCCCTTTTCCCCTCTCTGGAAAGTGCTCTGTGGCCTGCTGGGCTCCTCTTCGATCCCATCCCTAATGCCCTGTAGAGATGACGCTCTCAGAAGTCCCCTTGAAGCTGTCACTTGGTGTGCTGACCATGCCGCTGAGCCCACCTACCTGCTCTCTGGGGCGCCCCACCACCCCATCCTGCTGGGTTAGAGGCACTGGTCTTCCCCAGCCAAGGCACAGAGTGGGGTAACAACACCCCCCACCTCACAGAGCTACACAGACACGAAACCAGCTCAGCTCTGGGAGGGCTCAGCTGTAGGGCCTTGACAACCTCCAGGGACACAACCTCCAAAAGGGACCAAGTCAATGTCCTATGCTGTATAAAAGTCTGACACGGAGAAAACTCCTAAGGCTCGTGCTCTTCCTGAAAGAGGGAGGCACAGCTGTGGCTCTCCACCCTTCCCGGTGACCGTTGTTTGGCTCTGATAAAACAAAAGGGGTTTTATTCCGTGTAAAAGGTAGGGTGTAAGCGATTGCAAGTGAAAACAGACAGATCACAGTAAGTTACTAGGGCAGCTCTCTCCAACCTTGCTAAATTCAATCCAAGATCTAGCTCAAACCCAATACCCTTGTCCCGCCTCCTTTGTGTCCCTTCTCTGAGGCCCCGCCCACGCTCACTCCGTCCACCCTACCTCCCCCATCCTCCCTCCCTGTCACCAGGCAGGGACAGAGGGTTGGGGTGCAGGCTCTGGTCTTGCTTGAAAGGATTTGGAGTGCGAAACGGGCTCTGAACAAAGTCCTGTTTCACTCAGCAGCAGCCTGCAGGTTTTTGACTCAGTTTCCAGAATCCGTCTCTCCCGCCAGCCCTGTGGCTCACGGCCCAATGTCACTAGTCACCCGATACACAGGAACCTCCCTGAGTGTTTGATCCCTTGGGCATCTGCAGGTGCAGTCATCCCAGAAGTGGCTGTGCTCCGGCTGGAGAGTCGAGGTGCTGCACAACCGGCAGTGGGGAACCGTGTGTGACAGCGGCTGGGACTTACACAGTGCTGCAGTCGTGTGCCGGCAGCTGGGCTGCGGGAAGGTGCTAGCAGCCCCACACGGGGCTTACTTTGGGACAGGAAATAACCGCATCTGGCTGGATGGGGTTCGGTGCACAGGGGCAGAAACTGCCCTCTCTGAATGCAAGGCTCGGCCATGGGGAACGCATGACTGTGACCTTGGACAGGATGCCAGCGTTGTGTGCTCAGGTAACACACAGGATGGTGGGAGTCGGTGCCGCTGGAAGTGGGATGGGGGCTCTGCACAGTGGTGTGTGGGGGGGGGGGCGTTTTGGAGTTTGTATGTAATTGTCTCTGTGCCTGTTTGTGGCAGTGTCTGTGTGGTGTTACCAGATTTGCCCAATACTCTGGGGTATGCTCATTTATCAGGGTTACCCTTATGGGACTGGGGGAAGGTTAACAGTTCTATCAGTGTGCTGTTGGTGCTTACTTGTGCTCTCATATGGAGCTGAATTCTCCCTGCTGCCAATTCCCCCTCCCACTGGAGCTCTCCTGCAGGAACTAGGTTCCTCAGGATGGGGTTCTTCCCACCTTAGCAACACACACAGACACTCACACACACTAGTCAGAGCACGTCTGAGAGGACTGGGTACTCAGCACTCACAAGCTGACCCCCTCCTATGTCCCTGGACTCAGCTGGCTGGGTTTCACAGCAATGCCACACTGCACCCTCATGTGCCTTTGGACTCCGTGGGCTGGATTAAACAGCACTTTAAGCTGCCATCCTCATAAGCCCCCAGGTTCAGCACCCCTTATCCCCACTTTCACACCACAGTCATTCACAGGTAAACCACACGATGAGCAAACCCCACAGGATTTTGGGCACTACAGGGATCTTTTGCTTGGGTACAAGAAGCGTTGTTGCAGAGCGAATGGGGAAGCCAAAACAACACCCCTTAAGGAAGAGTGAGCAAAAGAGAAAGAAAGAGAGAGAAGCAACCAGTTTAACAATGAAAGTGATTTATTTCTGAGTAGTGAATAGGTATCAAACAGTTACAATATTAAATCTAACAATTACAATATTAAATCTAAATTGAAGCTGATTACAAATGTTAGGTAACCATATAACAGTTTACATAGGGCAGGGTCAGGAGGCTACGCTTAGAGAGATAGTTGAGAGAGAGAGAGAGAGAGAGAGACCTCACCACTCCACGGAGCTTGCACTGATCGGGGTTCCCAGATGATGATGGTAGCCGGGGGTCCAGAGGGCAGGAGAAAAGCAGGACAGAGCCCCCAGCACGATCAGACAGGAGATGAAGAAGTCTCAATGGAACTGATGCAGTTTAAGTCCAGGTATCAGAACAGTTTTCTTGGGGCAAGGATAGGAGTTTTATAGGGATAGTTCAAAGAGAAAGAGGAGAGACAATAGAGACTGATCACACCTGGTTATGGGTGATGTTCCTTGAACGAGCTCACAATGCAACTTGGCAGTTTCACTATTTTAGATGTCAATAGGATCGTTACTAGAATTGGTCTGATAATGACTAATTTGGGTGTGAGCAGGCCTAGGTTCATTAGCATCTGGAGCAGGGATTTCCCATCAGGCAGTGCTTCTCTGCTTTTGGTGTCCCATAGTTCACTGCGGTTCTTGTCTTGGAAGAGCTGCTCTCCATTCTGTATGCTAATGAGATGTCCCTCTGTTCCATCTTTAATGCAAATGAGGCTGGGGTGTTTCCTTAATTGTATCTCCCTTGTCTGAAGCAGTTGAGGTGGGTCTTCCCCGGCCTTTTCATTGCTTTGTCTTTGATTCTAGCAGAGGCCTGAGGGAGGGGAATGGTTTTCCATGAGTATCACTCCCTGACTCCCCAAGAGCATAAGGCTGACAGGTGACCATGTTCTGGTTCCCCAATAATCACAGAGCTGGTGGGTAACAGTGGGGTGTGTGAAGGGGTGTGCGTGTGGCAATTTAGAAATGTTTCCGTGGCCGTGTGTATCTGTGTGTGTCAATGAGAAGCCGACTATACGATTAACCATAAGCCCAGGCTTACCGGTTAATCTGAAACAGAGGCAGCAGGAGCAGGGGGAAGCAGGAGCTGGTGGTGGGAGGAGCCATCTTACAAGCCAGTTCCCCCCAGCCCTGGCTCCGTGGAGCCACCTGCTCTCCCGCTCTGCTGCCTCTATTAGGGCAGCAGCAAATGTGTGGCAGGGAAGGCTGTCGCAGATCATCCTCTGTCTGCAGTGGGCCCAAGCTCCCCACGGACAGAGGCTGCTGTACATCCCGCAGATCATCCTCTGTCCGCAGTGGGCCCAAGCTCCCCACGGACAGAGGCTGCTGTACATCCCGCAGATCATCCTCTGTCCGCAGTGGGCCCAAGCTCCCCACGGACAGAGGCTGCTGTACATCCCGCAGATCATCCTCTGTCCGCAGTGGGCCCAAGCTCCCCACGGACAGAGGCTGCTGTACATCCCGCAGATCATCCTCTGTCCGCAGTGGGCCCAAGCTCCCCACGGACAGAGGCTGCTGTACATCCCGCAGATCATCCTCTGTCCGCAGTGGGCCCAAGCTCCCCACGGACAGAGGCTGCTGTACATCCCGCAGATCATCCTCTGTCCGCAGTGGGCCCAAGCTCCCCACGGACAGAGGCTGCTGTACATCCCGCAGATCATCCTCTGTCCGCAGTGGGCCCAAGCTCCCCACGGACAGAGGCTGCTGTACATCCCGCAGATCATCCTCTGTCCGCAGTGGGCCCAAGCTCCCCACGGACAGAGGCTGCTGTACATCCCGCAGATCATCCTCTGTCCGCAGTGGGCCCAAGCTCCCCACGGACAGAGGCTGCTGTACATCCCGCAGATCATCCTCTGTCCGCAGTGGGCCCAAGCTCCCCACGGACAGAGGCTGCTGTACATCCCGCAGATCATCCTCTGTCCGCAGTGGGCCCAAGCTCCCCACGGACAGAGGCTGCTGTACATCCCGCAGATCATCCTCTGTCCGCAGTGGGCCCAAGCTCCCCACGGACAGAGGCTGCTGTACATCCCGCAGATCATCCTCTGTCCGCAGTGGGCCCAAGCTCCCCACGGACAGAGGCTGCTGTACATCCCGCAGATCATCCTCTGTCCGCAGTGGGCCCAAGCTCCCCACGGACAGAGGCTGCTGTACATCCCGCAGATCATCCTCTGTCCGCAGTGGGCCCAAGCTCCCCACGGACAGAGGCTGGGGGGGGAGCTGCTGGCCCCACCCCCGGTAGCTATTGAATAGTCGTGTACCGATAAGATTTCGTGTAGTGACACGACTATTCAGTTACACAATCTCTAACATCCCTAGTGGCAGTGTGTGAGCTTAAGGAAATGTGTGGGTGTGCACAGGGATATGTAGGTGTGCAGGGGACTGTGTGTGGTGCTGTGTGCAGGGTGCAGAGTGTTTGTGTGCCTATGCACAAAGATGTGTGATCTAGAAATGCCCCCCCACCCCCATGTGCCGTGCTGTGTCTCACGCCCTGTGCTTTGTGTTTCAGATCAGGCTAGTGGCAGTGTGTGAGCTTAAGGAAATGTGTGGGTGTGCACAGGGATATGTAGGTGTGCAGGGGACTGTGTGTGGTGCTGTGTGCAGGGTGCAGAGTGTTTGTGTGCCTATGCACAAAGATGTGTGATCTAGAAATGCCCCCCCACCCCCATGTGCCGTGCTGTGTCTCACGCCCTGTGCTTTGTGTTTCAGATCAGGTCCAT